CAATAATAGCGGTTAAAATCGTGGTGTCCAATCATAGTAATAATACATTGCATGATATCCAATCATAGTGTTAATATGGAGTGTAATATCCAATCGGTGATAATCTAGGCTATAATATCCAATCGTAGTGATGATCTGTTCTTTACTAATAGTCTGTGATGTCCAATCAGAGCAGTGATATATAATGGATTTTTATAATGACTTTACGTGACCCATTACAGTCGCTGGAGGAGCTACCATTCGAAGCGGCATTATTGATTGAAACTGCCACCCTGAGTCTATCGCGACGACATGCTGCACCCCTGGGGCAGTCGCTTCGCCGTGGCAAAGTTTGCCCGCTGCGTTTGGGAAAAGTTTAGCCGCGAGCGTGCCGCGCGGGTAAAGTTTCTTGGTCCGTGTGACCTCTCTGTTGTGCTCGCTGTTACTGGTCGGGGGGGGCATGGGGTCGGGGGGGGGCATGAGGGTGTTGGGGGTGCTAAAAATTGAGTGCTTGCTCTGCGGGATGGTCCGTGTTTGATCTGCGTTTACAGTGTGTACTGGCGTAATGGAATGCTAAGGGGCCCCGTTGCCCAGTCAGCAATTCCTCTACCTAACCGCAAACAATGTTCTGTTTTTTTATGTTTGTTTCGCAACACTGATGACAACTGGGGAAGAGGGGGAGGGCATGGGTGGGGAAGGGGCGTGGTGTGGGGTTGATAGGCAACTCAAAGCAGAACTGTTCAAACAATAAAATATATTTAAAAAATCTTAAAAAAAAACGCTTTTATGAAATTTACTAAATAAGCCCAGCTTGTGCCTGGCTCATGTCGTTTACACCACCGTGCCCAATGATTGCATCTCTCCCTGTTGTTTTTAGTTGTAGTAAAGTGTTTTGTGGGGATGAAACTATCTTCCATTTGGGAGATCCACTGAACTGATTTTTGTGTCGAGTGTAAGTTCTTCCCCCGCACCTCCGATTAGCACTTTTGTCTACGTACGGCACGTAAGAAGTTCAATGTACTTGCGTCCAGTGGCTGGGACACGCCGTTGCTGCCGGCATCCTTTAGAGCATCGGCGCTTCTCCATTCCACGGAGCACCAGCGAGCTCTCGCGATCTGTGCGGCACGCCTCGGAAACAAACAAAAGAAGTCAAGCGCTGTGGGCCCGGGTGTGAGTTTAGTGGGCCGGGGTTGGCGGCTGACGGCTGTACTGCGGAACTGCGCCACGACCAATGGAGAAGGGGAAGGGCGGGTGCCACGGTGGCGAGGTTGTCAACTGCCTCGCCTGGTATACATGAGGTCGTGGGTTCAATCCCAACCCTGGCACCTTTCGTACATTTGGAGTTTGCATGTCTCTCCCCGTGGTCGCGTGGATATTTCTGCGAGTCTTCCGGTTTTCTCTCCACATTTAGAAACGTGCGTTTAAAGTATTTGACTGCGATAAATTTCCACGTGGCAAGCCACCTCGTTGAGCTATCATTTGTGGCCAGGTCGCTTCTGAAAAAAGAGCTCTATAGCTCAATGGGCCCTTGGTAAAATAAAAATAGCTTAGTATTGTAGTGCGGATGAAGAGGCCACTCGACAGCATCAGCTCCGTTGATATTCCGTTTATCCTGTCGAAGCGCTTATATTCTAGAATCACTTAGCCCTCGCAATTACGTCTAAACTCAATCCGGAACCAAAGCTGCGATTAAATAAACATCGACGACTTGGCTTCACTGGAAACCTTTGTAGATGCTTTTGTTTAGGCCCTGTTTGTTCGAATGTATCTCAGTGGCTGACTGTTGTGGTGTGTGATGACCATCGCTTGGGAGACAGAGGGCATCCTGGTCTAGCCACACCACCACCCCATCGTGCCTCGCGAGGTGCTCGATAACGGCACTTGGCCCCAGCGGTCCGTATAACCACGGGGGGTTGGTGCGTCTTTGTGTCTGCAGCTGAGGCCGCGGACTCGGAGGGCCTCCCTGAGGGCGGCTCCGCGCTGAGAGAGGCGCTGAAGAAACAACTCGAGTACTACTTCTCCAGGTACTGCCGCTCGCAACGCCACTGAAGGCTGCCCTCTGTCGCCGGCGATCGCGGCAGTCCGACGCCGCCCCGGCTGCCATGGTGTTTGCATGACGCCGGGGGGCAGCAGTGTTGGTGATGAGCGGTCCGGGTCAGTTGAGCGTGGGGAGCGGTGGTGCAGCGGGTTAGCGCTACGCTGCACAGTGAACCGAGTTGCTATCCCAGCTTCCCACTCGGCAGCAGCAATCACATTTGCCTCCGTGGTACAGCAACTATTGTCACTGATTGCCGTAAAATTGTCTTGGCGGTGGTGAATGTGGTGATGTTAATTAGGGTGACGATGTGGATGAGGATGATGGCGAAGGTGGTGTTAATTTTGGCAATAAAGAATGATGTGGAGGGGATGTTAACTGCGTTGACGGTGGTGGTGGTCGTTGCGGTGTTAACGACGGCGGTGATGAATCGTAAAAGCACGTCGATGGTAAGCGGCCGTTGTTGTTGTTGTGTCTGGGAACCCAGAGAGAACCTGGCTGGAGACGCTTACCTGCTCTCCCAGATGGACAGCGAGCAGTTTGTTGCCGTGGAGACCATCGCCAACTTCAACCTCGTCAAGAGGCTGACATCCGACATCAACCTCGTCACGGACGTGCTGCGATGTGAGCTCAGCCCCGTACATCGGTCGCACTAGCGTCGTTTCTTGTGCGCACACAAAGACTAAGATCCCTCCGCGTGTTCTTTCACAAACTGTTTGGGCAAGTGCTGTTGGTGCAGCCTACGTGGTGCAGCCTACGTGGTGCAGAAAAGAAGAGAGGGGGGGGGCATGACGGGTAGGCGACAAGGTGGAAGGGACGTGAGGCGTGCGTTACGCCTCGCACCCAAAGGCGCTCTTTGCATCCTATCGGGCCCCTTGAGAATACTTTAATACCAGAGTCCAGTGGGCGGCAACACCGACCATCAAAAAACTGTTTAAAACAGGTACAAAACCTGCTGTTGAGGTCGTACGCAAATTTTAAATGTCGTGGATTCACTCTTCAAACACACCGGTGGGCTGAAGAAGTAACTAATTGGTGTTTTGTTATTGTGAGACATTTTTTACTGATTGGTCATGTCGGGTGGTGGAGGATTGCGACACATAATAGCGCGATCTAACCCAAAAAGCTTTATTATGAGTTATACTTGTCGCGGAAGCCTTAAACTTACCGCTCATTGTATGCTAACGTCGCTCTTTAAGTGCTCGTTCTCTATCTATGTACTGTTTGTTGTGGAGATGGTGGTGTGTTAGACGGGAGGCGGTATGTATGTATGTTGACATTTTTTCGCACTATACGTAGCCAAACGTGCTAATCGGAGGTGCGGGGGAAGGAAACAAGCTAAACACAAAAAGCAGTTATGAAGAACTGAGTTTTCAATCTAGACGATGATTTAAAAGTGCATAACTCGAGTTCCTTCCTAATATTGGAAGGAAGATCGTTCCAGACAGCCGCAGAAGCGCATCTGAAAGCGCGCGATGCGGTGACCACCGCCTTTGCTCGACGGTCAGCCGAAAGCCGCCACTGCTGCGAGGATGACCGTAGTTTGCGTGACGGTGGATCATGCTGCTCGACGAGATCATCGGCGAAGGTGTCGTGTTTCTATGTCGCTCTGTTCAAGCGTTTGCGCCGTGACGCTAAACTCTCACGTCGCCCGCCGTGCCCTGCAGCATCGGCGCTGGTGCAGGTGGACGAGGCCGGCAGGAGGGTGCGACCCGTGCTGCCCAAGCGCTGCATCGTGATCCTCCGCGAGGTTCCCCAGAGCACACCACCCGAGGTGGGCACCGAGGCTGTCCCCGCTGCCACCGCACCACCGCACCTTCAAACCGCCACGCTGCACTACCGCGCCACCACACCGCACCACCGTGGCGCGGTACCGCACCTCCACACCGCACTACCGCACCGCATTCTACACAAACACAGGCCCCTTGACGTCGTGCCGAAACAATGCGTTTGTCATAAAACCTGTCGGCGTTTCTGGAGAGTTACAGAAACCTCTTTTAACTGACGATGCGTGACACGGAAGTGTGTCGGGCTCGTGCGAGCGGTGGTGCCCTGGGTATGAGCTTTAGGGCCAGCGCCGGTGTGCCGGAACTCTAGGAAAAGAAAGCGCCTCGCTTTGTTCGCAAGCTCGGACAGGCGACCTCCTCCGTGCCGTTCAGTGGCCGATGCGGCACCGCCCCCCCACCCACCCGCAAGCCCGCCTCTCGCGGAGCGGCACGGCAGCAGGACAGCCTTCAGCCCCCACCTCCGGCCTTCTCAGTTCCCACAGCGATATTTGGTCGCGCATGCGCGAGTTGAGCGAACGGCGTGCCGCAAAGATGAAGCAAGCTGGAATGTAGCGTGCCGTGGAATGGACAAAAGGTAGAGAACACTGCCCGAGACCCCCTCCGCTGGGCCCCCCGGGGGTTTCGTTTTCTTATCCAGTTGTTTGTCGCCCGGCAGGAGATCGAGGCGCTGTTCAACGGCGAGCACTGCCCAGGCTACGTGGGCTACGAGTTCGCGCACAACGACAGCTGGTACATCACCTTCGACTCGGAGGCGGACGCTCAGCGGGTCAGTTTCACGAGCCCCCCCTCCCACCCCGCTCGTCCTCTTATCTTCCAATGGGCCTCTCGTTCCCCCCTACCCCCCCCGCATGTCTCCCCATGACCCAAACTCGTCCTTTCACGGCCTATAGCCGCGTCACGGTCGGATCTACACAGTATAAAGTATTGCTTGATATGGAATCTCTGGCACGTGTAGAACTAGTTCCTGATGCAACGGAAAATAATAGCACGACTGATCACCGCACAACGGTAGCACAAGATGATTTTCAAATCAGCAAAATGTGTTCAAGATGACCGGTAGCATTCCTGTATTCCTGAGGTGGGCGTGGAACATGCGGCCCCGCTAATTAATTTAATTCCACTTTTGGCAACATCGGGCCTACCTACGACTTGAATATGGCCTATAAAGAGCAGACTGTATGTTTGTGTGTGTCGGCTAGGCCTACAAGTACCTGCGGGAGGAGGTGAAGGTGTTCCTCGGAAAACCAATCATGGTGGGTCGACATGCATTACCCACAATGCACTGCACCTGTGTAATTAATACACTGAAGTCGTCAGCGGGGATTCTTGTCTATAATGATTTGCCCCGCCCTCAGAATCTGATGAATTGCCACAATCCAGGGGTTGTAATTTGATTGAAGAGTAAATTAGGGTTGTTAAAATTTTCGATTTTTACATTACCTCTAGCCGCATGAAAAACAACAGGTTTGCCGCAAACATGGAGTTGTCTGGAGCATTAAACAATCACGGTTTTACCTTTCCTCCTGAGAAACTAACGGAACTGCCACAGTGCTGTAATGGCTAATCACACCTCTGGCCGGATTGATTCCATCTCCCGACAACGGCAGTTGAAAGAACGGCGTGTTACTAAACTATGCACATTTTTATTTTACCCGGGTAAGGCCTACCGAGCCATGTAGCTCTTTATCAGAAGTAACAAATGGTCGCTCAACGCAGTGGCAGTTCTGCGTCGGTTTCCTCCAGGTTCTCTGTTTTCCTCCCATAGTTAAACTAAGACAAATATCCTCTATATAATCTTTACATACTTTTAAGGCAAGTGCTGTTAGCGAGCACAAATGACGGCCAGCACGACACCGACCACCTTTCCCGGTGTCCCCGGTGCTGATGATGTTCACACATCGCAGCCAGGTACTCATTTGAGGCTGAGTCGACTTAGGGGAAGCCCAGGACTGGTTTAGATAATCGCCATTTGGTGTTGGCCATGAGCAAGAATTGAACTCGGGTCGCGAGGAGCGTAACCCAGTGCGCTAATCGTTATGCCACAGCTCTCAAAACACAAACGCAACATTTCCGGTATTGGTCAAACATCGCAATGCTGTGGCGGGAAAAATTGGAGGACCCGGAGAAAAATCCACGCGACCACGGGGAGAGAGAGAGACACGCAAACCCCAAATATACAGCAGCAGGCGTCCGGGTAGGGATCAAACCCACGACCTGCTGTAGACCAGGCGAGAGAGTTAACATCTCCTAGCCACCGGCCGCGCGTCTCGTAACCGCTGCTGTGCCTCCCCTGGCGTTCGCCGTCACGCGCGCAGGCGCGCATCAAGACCAAGCCGTTGGCCGTCAACCCCTTCATGGCGAAGCCTCTGCCGGCGCTGCCCGAGGCCGGGCTGGTGCCCGCCCAGGCGGCGCCGCCGCCGCCTCCCCCGCCCTGCCCCTGCCAGCGTGACGCCGCTGTTCGCGCAGCAGATGTACGGCTCGGCGCCGCACCACCAGTACCCCGTGTACGGCACCGCCGTCGGCCCGCCGCCGCCGCCGCACCCACACATCTGGCCGCCCTCCGCGCACTTCCAGCCGCCCGTGGTGAGTGGTGGCGCCCCACCTGGAACCACCTCTTCCCCCTGCCCCCCCCTCCACCACGATCTCCCCCCCCCCCCCGCACCCCCCCTGGTCCCATGTGGCAGGAGATGAGAATCAGAATCGGCAGAATCTTTGTTTTATTTAGACTGGAGGAATCCGATGAGCTTCACGAAGCTCTTTTTTCACGCCTATCCAGTGTGTCCAGGCATCGTATTCAGCTGTGAAGGAAGCGTGGATTCCGTAGAGAAATTTTTACTAAAACCAAACAGAATAGAAAATGAATGTTTTCAGTGGGGTCTTGAAAAGCAAATAATTTGTTTATGGCCGGGTGGACTTCAGTTGGCCGACTGTTCCAGCCCACCGGTGCTGCAGATGAAGAGCTCCATTCTGCTGTCCAGAGCTGCGTGGATGTCGCACACAGCGCACAGTGTTCCACAGAGTGACGCGCACAGTTACGCACACAGTGTTATGCACAGTGTTACGCACAGTGACACACACAGTGACACGCACAGTGACACGCACAGTGACACGCACAGTGACACGCACAGTGACACACACAGTGTTACGCACAGTGACACACACAGTGACACACACAGTGTTACGCACAGTGACACACACAGTGACACGCACAGTGTTACGCACAGTGACACACAGTGACACACACAGTGTTACGCACAGTGACACACACAGTGACACGCACAGTGTTACGCACAGTGACACACACAGTGACACGCACAGTGACACGCACAGTGACACGCACAGTGACACGCACAGTGACACGCACAGTGTTACGGTCCACCAGGTGTTTTCAGCTAACACACCGGTAACAATGGCCTGCGGCGGGTTATCCTAAAACTTCTCTCGTGTGTTACGGCTTGAAGAAGGCTGAATGGGGGATCTGTGCTTGTTTGTGTTTTTAGTGTAGTGGTTTGCACGCTGCGTTACTAACCCAGGCATCTGAGATCGGTCGCCACTCACACCAACCTGGACCGGTCCTAGGCCTCCCCTCGGTCGACTTGGCCTCAAATAAGCAGCTGTGCCATATGTAAACATAACTACTGGGGAAACAAGGTGGCCTGGCACGGTGCTGCTCACCCACCCCCTTGTGTGCGAATATCGCGTCGGTGCTTACTAACAGCACTTGTCCCAACAGTCTACTAAAGGCCACACGGGGGATCTTTGTGTGTGTGTGTGTGCGTGCAGGCTTCCTTCGCCAGCTCGGGGTTCCTCAACGGCTTCACCGGTCCCATCCTCATCAAGCCGCGTGGCGGCATGAACCAGCCAAACGTGCGCAACTATGCGCCGAGACAGAGGTGGGCGGTCGCACGCACGAGCACCCACTTACGCACGCACCTCCTGTTAGCGCGGTTGGCTACTACGTACGTATTTACGTTGAACTTCTTACTTCCCGTACGTAGCCCACCGCGCTAATCGCAGATGCGGGAGCGCCAACGTAAGGCTGCCCGCCCTACGTTGGCGCTGCCATCTCTGGCCATCCTCCTACATACATGGGGTTAACCGCTGTGAAGTGGTGCTGGTTTTATCATCCCCAAGGAAATGATGGGCTTGGCCGGCTTAATCGTCGATTGCCATCCCCACGGTGTGCCACTGGACCCGGCTTAAGATGCCGCCCCTCCGATTAGCATGGTTGGTTACGTACAGTGCGAAAGAAGTTCAACTTACATACAATGCCCCACAAACTCACTCGATGCTTGTGTTGACCCTTGCTCATTGCCCTCTGTGTCACAGCGGGACGTTAAGAGATCCCGTAGAATTGTTTGCTAATGAGTTGGCTCCGTGTGTCTGCCGCTGGCGTCACGGTCCCATATTTTCCAAATTCGAAAATATACTCCAGGCAGTCCTTAACTTACGGATGGCCCGTACTTACGTACCAGCTTCCATGAAATATAGAAAAATAACATGGACTTAAAACGCGAACTCGCACTTGAAAACGGAACAGTGGAACGATTTCCTTCAGAGGAGAAAACCTCCGCGAGATTTAACCAGTTTAACTATGCTTCCCTTTTTGAACCGTCACACATTTCACATCACTGACCGTATGGGCATTTAAATGCACTGCATCGTTGTGTTCCGACTTTCAAACCGTTCGACTTACGAACGGGAACGAATTAGCCTCAGAAGCCAAGGACTGCTTAATTGGATAGGAGGAAGTAAGTCGCGTGGCGACGCCGCTGCCCGCTGTGACGCTGTGCGGGGCTGTCGTCTGTGAAACACGGCATCGGCGGCACCTCCTTCGTGACAGCCCTTCGCTGTTAGAATTGCCGCAATACCAAAATGTGTGCTCGTGTACAAAATGTGCCGGCGGAGGCTCAGCCCTGCAATTGCGCGTCGTTGCCACTGCTAGTGGGAAGGGCCCTCCACGTGAGGCAGCTCTAGAAGCTCCCGCGCACGTGACGTACTAATCGTCGCCGCCCACGACGCAATCCCACAGGAGCCACAACAACCACAACAAACCGCCGAGCCGCCCTTACGTGAAAGCCGACGGCGGCACGGTGGTGCCGCTGTCGCTCGTGCAGACCGCGCCCCCGGACCGCCGCCCGCCCTACGTCGGCGCTTCCATCGCCGGCCCCCCGCCTCCTCCTCCGCCTCCTCCTCCTCCCTCCGCCGCCGTCTCCGGGCCGATGGGCGCCCCCCGCATCGCTTCGCTGCCGCAGCCGCAGCCACCGCCGCAGTCCGTCTCGGCGTCGGCCGCGCCGTCGCTGCACCGCCCCGCGATGGCCCGGGACGCCGCGGACGGCGAGAGGCGACCGCCGGCGGAGGCGCCGTTCGAACGGCCGCTGCTGGGCCGGCGCGCCGAGCCCTGGGACGCCACAGCCTACGCCAGGCCTGGGTGAGGCCGCGTGGGCTGGGGGGACGACGGAAAAAACCGGCGCCGAGGTCGTCGTTCCGCAGCGGTGACACTTGAGGCTCACAGGGCGCAAAGATCCTGGGTTCCATTCCTGACTCGGGCGCCTTTATTGTGCGCCACTTTTTTTTATTTTGTTGCTGAGGTTTTTACACCTGATGTTGATTGCTTGTGTTGCAATCGAAACGTTGTGATAATTTAATAGTTTATTTATTATTTTATTAATTCCCTTCTACGTGACTTTACCGAAAGAGCCAAGAATATAAGACAAAGATCCTCCATATAATCTTCACATACTTGTGGGGCAAGTGCTTTTAGCGAGCACCAATGAGGGAGCGGGTGGCCAGCACCACACCAACCGCCTTTGCTGATGTCCGCAGTACTCATTTGAGGCTGAGTTGAATTAGGGAAGGCCAAGGACTGATTTAGGTGATCGTCATTGTTGGCCATGAGCATCAATTGAACTCTCGTAGCGGGGTGCGTAACGCAGCGCGCAAATCGTTATGCCACCGCTCCCAAAACACAAACGCAACATTACCGGTATTGGTCAAACATCGCAATGCTCATTTACCTCCAAATGTTCTAAATTGGGATAACACACAGCAATGTCAACCCCTGCTGCGAAAACTTGTCAGGACCCTCTTGATGCTCATTGAGGCTTTCTTGGGTAAGCGTGAAGACTAATAAGAACAAATTGTGTTGACACTGGAGAGAGACGATTGGCTGAGTTGACCCTTCTACCCTCCCCCATAACTGGATTTGATCTCAAGAACCTTTAGTTTAGAATTTGCTGTGTCAATCCAGGCGATGGCATTAGAGCCAAGTGGATTCATGATTCTAATCTGCGCTGGTTTTTGAGCATTATCCACACGTACACGTGTGCTGGGTGTTCCTCTGTTGACCAGGTTCCTCCCGTATGTACGAACACTGCTGCAACAGATTCACGATTCCCTGTTGGGGTCCAATCACACGCAGCCAGTTAATAAAGGTGGCTGAGACTGTGAAAGATAAATAAATGACGTGATTTCTTCGACGATGATTAATTTAACGTTGTTTTGTTTCCCGAATCTCAGGCGAGGGAACTACTTGGAGAGGAGAAAGGACGAGACTGTGATGGTGAGTGTTCTCAAAGCGGTGCTCTGCTCCGCCACGCTGCCGCACGGTCACAAAGACGACGACCGCCAGAGGCTCGTAGCTCCCGCGAGGACCCGTTGGGACTCGTTCATTCGTCATCATCATCATCATCACGATCCATGGGCAGATAGCACGTGCAAGCGCACCTCCGATTTAGCGTGGTTGGCTGCGTACGGTGCGAAAGAAGTTCAGCATACATAGGCATACATCATTCACAATGGTTAGCACACTGGGCTTCCAGGGGTCAGTGGTTCGATCTCCCGGCACGGCAGTTAAACATTTTTCGAATCTTCCTCGTCGCCGCTGCTGTTGCCTCTGTCCATCCAGCAGTGTGAACGGGGCACGTCGCAGTCGGTCGGCAGGTCGCGTGTGGCGGGTGCAGCGTGTGGGTACTTCTCTACCTCTCCCAAGACGTCTGGCCGGCGTGGAAGAGTAGACCAAAATTCACTCGGGGCTGTATAGAGCACCTTCTAGTGGTGCCCCTTTCATCCAGCAGGGGATAGCCCCTGGAGGTTCATTCATAAACTCTATAACCGGGTGAGAGCCCGTTGAGACTCTTGATATGGCAAAGCGCTACCAGTGTCACGGCGGTAACGGCGCGGCTGAACTGTCCGCCTAGGCTCCCCGTCCTCACGCCACAGCCGCCCCTGTGGAGGCCTTGCCGGAACCTCGGGGCCCAGCGGAGGAGGCGACCGAGCGGAAAGACCGGGCGGACGCCCTGGGACCGCCGGCATCCATCGCTACCGCCGCCATCACCGCCACCGCGGCCGTCACCGCGACGCCGACACCTGCCCTCCCGCCAGCCAGGGTGAGTGCCGCATCGCGATCGCTTGTCTATATGCGTGTCTTTGTGGGGAGTGGTTTTGCAACGGTTAGCGTCCCGCGCTACGAACCTGACGACCCCGAGTTAGATTCCCGCTCACGGCCAACACCAGTGCCGAATATCTCAACTGGTCCTGGGCCTACCCTAGGTCGACTTTACATAGTGGCGATGTAAACATCGCACTATCTAAACATCGCTACTAGGGAGACAAAGGCTGTCGGGCGTGGTGCTGGCCATCCACCCCCTCGTGTACCATGCCAGCCTTCATAGGTGCTCGCTAACAGCACTTGCCCCAAAAGTATATAAAGGCTAAACGGGGGATCTTTGTCTTCTTGTACTTTGTGTATACTGTGTGTGTATACACTGTGTACTTTGTGTGTGTACCCTGTGTGTGTGTACCCTGTGTGTGTGTGTACCCTGTGTGTGTGTGTACCCTGTGTGTGTGTACGCTTCACGTGTGTCCGTGCTGTTGTGGCGGAGTGCAGGGCCCGCCCGTGGAGGAGAAGGCCGCGGCGGCCTCGCCGCTGTCCGTGCCCACCGTGACCACGACCCCGCCGCGCCTGCCCTTCTCCCTGCCCTCGGGGCGACTCGACCAGCCAGCGCGCACCACCCCACACGCCGCCGGGTACAGCCCGCCACCCTCGCCACCCGCACCACCCTCACCAACCTCGCCACCCGCGCCACCCGCATCTGCAGGGCTGGCAGCAGCTGCTGCTTCACCCTTGCTGTACCTTGATTCACCCTGCTAAACCCTGGTTCACTGCTAAACCCTGGTTCACTCTGCTACACCCTGGTTCACCCTGCTTCACTCTGGTTCATTGTTTAAACTCCGATGCTCCCTGGGGAACCCATCGTGTAACAGCGTGTTTACGCCGCGTGTTATGGTTCTGTCCGTTATTCTCCGGCACCGCGTCGCGTGTTTGCCGTCGTGCGCCGCTACCGCATCTCACGGGAACAACGTTCACCCCCTCCCCGCAGAGACGCCAAGATCACGGTGGCGGCGGTGCCACCGCAGCCGGCGCCAGCCAAGCCGGACGAGACCCCCGTCTCCCGGCCCGGCGACACGGGGGCCGCGCCGCCGCCTCCGCCGCCTCCTCCTCCTGCGCCGCTGCTGCTGCTGGCGCCCACGCCGGCCTCGCCGGCGCCCGCCCACCCCCCGCCGGCGCCAGGCCCCCAGTGGGGGGCACGCGAGATCCCGTCGGCGATTGCGCCCAGGGAGGAGCCCCGGGGCGGCGCCGGCACGGCCGCTCCTGCGCCGGCCGGGCCGGCTCCGACGGCGTCTCCGCCGGCGCCCGCCCTCGTCGCTCTGAGCAAGCAGCCGGCGCCCGCCGCCTCTGTAAGTCCACCTGACGGCACATGCCTCGGCGCTCGAGGGTTTTGATGTCGGTCGTCGTTTGTGGCCGGGTCGCTTCGTAGCTCTGTGGGTCTTAGCTGGTTCAATAAAAATGGTTTAGTTTTATGGTTTTGCTCTCGCCTTCCTGTTCCCGTCTTGCTCTCCTTCACTAGAACCAACTCACACTGCACGTAAACCAGTCCTGTTCACTAACCAGCTTCCTCTCTTCTCTAAAACAACCACCGACTCTTATCCCTTGCCTATCCTACTGCTACTCCCTGCCCCGACCCCCCAACTACGACCAGGCCTACCCCAACCCCTACCACTATCCCAACCCCTATCACTATCCCAATCCCTATCACTACCACTCACTACCCCTATCACTCTCACTACCCCTGTCACTATCCCAACCCCATCCCCTCCCTATCACGACCCCAACCCCTCCTTAACCACTCCCACCTTTCCTCACTGTCGCCACAGCTATACCAACACTCCTCATCACCGCCGTCATCTCACGCACAACTTTACAGTTATCGTGAAGCGCCTTGTACAAAGGCGCTGCTCTATGAATCTCCGTGAGATGAGATCAAACGAGCTCGGTCGGGCTTAACCGCAATATCGCGCCGCCCGTTTCGCTCCGCAGGAGGGGAAGAAGCTGAGCTACGCCGACGTGTGCAAGCGGCCGCCCAAGGAGGCCCCGTCAGGCGCGCCGCCGGTGCCGCCGGAGGCCGCCGCCGCCCCTGCTCCGACCCCTTCGGCCACGGCGACGGCAACCGCCGCCGACAAGGGCCCGCACGGCACCCGCGACGACGGCAACGCCGAGAACGGCCCCGCAGCGGCGGCGGCGGCCTCGGGAGCGCACGACTCGGACGGCGTGAGTGAAACCGCGAGCGTCTGGGGTCGGGGGAGGGAATGGCGGCAGTGGTGGGCGCGTCGAGTAGACGTAGAGAGAGGTTTCGCCCATTGGTCTCTTGTATCACGCACCTTACGTAGCCAATTGTGGTAATCGGAGGTGCGGGGGAAAGGACGACAAACTGAACACAAAAAGCATTTAGAAAGAAATGAGTTTTCGATCTAGATTTCAGGTGCTTACGCATAACCTTTGCCCGTGTGTACGGTGCACTTCTTTCGCACTGTACGTAGTCAACTGTGCCAGTCTGGGGTTAGCGCGGGAGCTCGCCGTGTGCTCGTCCCCGTGACGTCCGTCTCCCGTTCCCTGTCGCTCAGCTTCCCGTCGATTCTCCTGGAGGAGGCGAGGGCAGAGCGAGGCAGAGCGGCGGCGCCGGGATGGACGGCGACCGCGGCGGCGGAAGCCCAACTCAAGGGCGCTACCACCGCGAACCGCGCGGCCGCAATCCCGGCTGGGGCCGCCGCTACCCGTTCCACCCGCCCGCCCGCTACCCCACGGCCCGCCGCAACTACCCGCGCTACAACGAGCGCTTCGGCGGGCAGCAGCTGCCGGCCGCCGGCGGGGGCGGCAGCGCCGCCACCTCGGGTTCGACCGCGGGCGGCTTCGCCGATTGACGGGCGCGCAAGCGGCAGAGCGAGAGAGCGGCGGGTGCCGCCACCGGGGGGGGCGAGCGGGGCGGACGTCGCCCGACACCCCCCCCCCCCACCCTCGGCTCGGATGGTCGACCATGGGCCGCCCGCCACCACGCGCCTCTCTTCGAACCCGGCAGCCGATTCCTGCCTCCGTGTGGGGGTGGGCGGGGGTGAGGAGAACTGTAGCCACCCAGGCCTAAGCGGGGTCAGCACTGCCTGGCGCTTTCCTGTTTCCTGCGCCGCCATCACCTTCTTACGCGTCTTCTTTGCCGAAGCGACAACTTGCCGGCGGCAGCGGCTGCTCTCCGCCCCACCTCCCTGCTGCTGCTGCTGATGATGATGAATTTCGGGTGGATTCGAGGAGAAGCTAGGGTTGGAAAAATACACTTTTGTTGCATTTTTTTAAATTTGTATTCCTTGTTTCCGATTCAGCTGTAGTATGGTTGGTGCATTTCGCACGCTGCGAGGTTGACAAGGGACGATTGTTTTTGTTGCGCCGCCTCCCAGGATAGTGTTCGTTTGATTTGTCTCTTGCGCGTGCAAGGATCGGATGACGTTCGTTTTCTTTTCGTTTTTACTCGCGAAGATCAATTTGCTCTTGCTTCCTTTTAGCGGTCCCTTTAAGTTTTTAATGTTCACGTAGAATCGCTAGGGTGCGCCGAAGTACGGAGAGCAGCAACCTGCGACGAAAACAACAAAACCAACAAAAAACGCTTTGAAAAAAAATATAAAAGTAAAAAAATGTGTACATAGGACAGCGCTACTGCGGGCCTGTGGAGAAGAAAAAGTGTTTGCCCGAGCAATGGGAACGGCGATCGGCACCGCAGAGGTGCATCGGCTAGCGGAGCGAATCGCAGCACGTTTTAATTCTCGTAAATGTTCTTAGTTGCTTGGGCTAATGTTCAACACTTTGTTATAACTTAAAGGAAAATGTTATTTTTTTACATGCGATGTCGATTGCAAAAAGAGAGATGATTTTATCGTTTGATTCAGGATACTCTTTAAATTTCTTCGGTTCGATCGTCCTTTCATTGCGTGCGTACTTTTATTTTAGTTTTTTTTGCATTTCCTTAAGTGCCTTGACCCTTTGTGCGATCCGTAAGCCGGGGCGGGCGAGGCCGCGACCTTGCCTTCACGTGCAGATGCCCCGCGGGAAGTTAAAACAAAACAACAAAAATATATATTGTTATTATCATCATCATCTACTTTTCACATTTTTATTTTTTAATGATTTTTGTTCCTTTCGGCTTGTTAGTTGAAAACAAAATCAAGTTTTATTTTTTAAATCGCTTCCGAACGCGCTAATTAATCCGCCTCTCTTCGCGCCTCGCCCAATCAGTGTGGCCTGTAATTATTTTGCTTGTTTTAATGTTTAAAACGTTAGGCCTGGACGCGACAGCAGAGCCACCTCCTCCGCTTGAGCAGCGTGCCGCCCCTCCCCCCCCCCCCCCCCCCCACAACCTTAACCCCAGCAGCTCGCTCGAGTTTTATGTGCAATAACGTGGTGGACAATCACGCCTGGGGGCGACGCAGCAGCGGGAGAGACGCAAACACGCGCTGGAGACGGGAGGGGCGGGACGCGGGGCAGCCGAACAGCACGGAGCGGAAGATCTGGTTGCTCGGGTAACTAAGCCATAACTGGACGTTCTTACTACTTGAAAACCGAAGCAGAGCTGTTGAACCGATTGGACTCTCGAACAGACCCTCGATGTAAATAGGCGAGCGGGCGGGCGTTGTTGGCGATGTACACGGAGCGCGCGGTGTGATGCGGTGTTGAGCAGGCTGCTGCAACTTGCCTTAGATTGCTTCGGCTTTGGCTCCCCAACAGAGTTTGGGGGGGGGTGGCCAGGATTTATCGACCGGCCTGGATGTCGCGGTGGAAGCGTTAAACAAATCCACCTCTGTCCTTGACGCGTGGCAGCGGCCGTAGCTCTAACCCTCGCGCTGGCGTTGACGCGAACGCTCGTAGGCCCCACCGCCACCTTACACCGGATGCTCTCCAGGACCCTCCAGTGTATGCCTGGCTGTAATATCCTGACCCTGCCATGACTTTAACCGCAAACCCGAACACTAACAGCGTCACGCGCGAGTGTGGGCCAGCGACCCGGTGCACTCTGACCTCCCCCTCCCACCCCTGAGAGCGGTGATCCTCGTCACGGCCACAAGACGGGCGTCGGCGTTCCGCTGTAACGACGTGGCGCTGTAACGACATTGTGTGCGCGCTGTCTTGCCGGTGTTGTCGTTGCTGTTGTGCGCGGTGTGGAGAGAGAGCACGAATGAGCGTGCAAGTAAGAGTGACGTTGGGTTTAAGGATTGCCTGAGAGGAGGGTGTCCTGGAAGCGCGTATGGCAGAGCTTTAGCGTCGGGGAAACGGTCGTGTGTGTCATTTAAATTTCTTAGCTACTCGAAACTTTCTAATCAATTATCCGGCAAAAGCACCTGGCGGGGACCTCGCCTTGCATGTCGATCGTCGCCGGTTGATCCTAGCCCCTCGGCAAGTGCCGCTTGACGTGCTGGCGTACCGCCGCCGGGCTCGCCGTGACCCACCAGGCCGAACAAGGATCCCCTTGCGAGTCGCCCCGTCGTCTCGCTTCTCTGCCCCCCCCCCCCCCCGCTGACCGTCGGCGGCTCTGCAACCGACGCGAAGAGCCGCCGACGCCGCTGTGGCTTCCGAGGTTTCGACGCGATCTCTCTCGGCCGTTTGTGCCGGGAACGCCGCTGCGACGGCGCAGTTTAGGTTGGTGGAGTGGGAAGCGGGGGGGGGGGGGGGGGGAGCAGGAGGGGGGGGCGCAGGGGGGCAGGGGGGATTCCCAGGGAAGAGGTCGGGGGGGGGGGGTCTCCCCCCCGCACCGCACTGCCAACCGCTACCTCACGCGCGGCCCCAGCCGCTCTGCTCACGCAGCTCTTGCCGGAATTGGTGGCCCCCCCCCCCCCCGTTTCACGCCGTGCCACAGCGGGGCGCGTCCCGGTCCTGCTCGGTCGTGTCGCTTGCTCAGGCTGACCCTTGCCGCCGGTGACGAGAGGGGCCTGCAGTCGCCGATGCGACGAAGCGTTCTCTGGCCTGGGGCTAAAATCATTTTCATTTCGAGCAAATGAACCCCCCCACCTCCTCCCCCGAGCAGTCGCCAGCGCAAAGGCCAGGGGCCTTCTTCCTGGCGAATTCTCCAACCCCCCCCCCCCTGCTCGGATTCTGAATTTTAAGATTTTGACCGAATGTGTCGTCGACGGCTACGTCCCGTTCTCAGTTGGCACCGCGACTCCTGGCGGCGCACGGGGGCAGTCGCCGCGAGCGCGGGAGGGGAGGGCTGACGTCCAGAGGGTTTTTGCCCGATGGCTCTCGTGCGGTTCCGCTCGTTCTCGCTCGACGACCTCCGCCAATGATGGAGAAGGACACAACTTGCACGCCGATGGCGATGGTCGACTGGCGCGTGGGGTGAGGCGCTGGCGACGTAGGCGATGGCGGTGGTGGCGGCGGCAACTTGTAGAAATTGAAGAGGTTTTGTGGAGCCTTTTATCTGTGAGGGGCTGTGAGAGGAGGGGGGGGCCCGTGTGTTTTCGTGGGGGGCTGGTTAATGACGGGGGGCTGTTGTGTCGCCTCTTGCGGTGACACGTGGCTGAGATGAAGTGTCGCGGTCAGAGGCGGGGCGGGGGTCTCTTTTTATAAAAGTAGAAAATAAAACTACGTGTCGCTTGCTTATCGCCGCAGATGCTTGGAATAAAAAAAAACATGAAAAACATTTATAAAAAAAAAATCTGGGCTGAAACAACGTGAGGACCTGACGGCGACCCACAGCCCCCCAGACGCATTGGCGGCACTCCGATGGGGGTCTCCGGGGCAGCTTCGTAGCCGCAGACATTCGTGGGAATTGCCACCCACCCTCGCCGCCGCCACCACCACCTCCGTCGGTCCCAACCCCCCCCCCACCCCCCCGCGCCTTTCCTCGCGTGCGCGTCGTGCCAGCTCGCTCGGATGAACCGAAAGAGGCCGTCGTACGCGGGACTTTTAAACGCGAACACGGGGGGCACGTTCGGTTACGTACGGAGATTTTGTTTGGCCGAATCGTTGGCATGAGGCTTGGGCCGTTTCGGCACAAAGTACGTGCGCGGTTGCCGGAGATCCCTGGAGCGTCGTCGTTTTACGTTGACACTATCGCAGAGGCTTGGTGCGTGCGTACGAAGCCGCGCGTTTTGATTTAGTGTTTTTTTTTCCTCTCATCTGTGCGGCGAGACCATGGGCGCGGTCTTTAGGTGCCTTCTATTCTGGATGGCGCTGCTCCCCGACCAGTCGGTAAAAGCGAGCGCGGTTTTTAGTTTGTTTGACGACGCGTGTTGTTGCGTGCTCCGCGGCACGGTTCACGCTGAGCGGGTGCTGCCCCCCCTCCCTCGCCCAGCTGGGTTGGGGGGGGGGGGTCGTTCTCCCGCCTCCCGCTTGTAAGTCGAGCGAGAACGCCTACGGGCGCCCGTCGGGTCGGCCGTTGCGTGGCTGGGGCAGTCCGTGGGACTTGCGGCATGGCCCAAGCGGTCTGGAGTTCGTTCTCTTCCTAGGGAGGCCTTGCAACAACGCCCCGGATGCACGCAGTTTGCATTTGCAGGAGGACTTGTGTTTCCCCGATTTTGAGCCATGATCTGACATTTTCTTTGTTTAGGGATTTTGTGTTGGGTTTTTTGTTGTTGTTGAGCACGGTTGTTGAGTACGTTCGTTTGCATTGTGTGTGACGTAGCAGCCCCTGTCGCGTACTCTCCAAATTAATCGCACGCATGCAGCCAATGGTTTCACCTCTCCCCTACTCTAAGTACCCCTCTATTCTCGTGGCACTGCCCCTGCCATCTAAATGATTTTGTTGCGTGAGTGGTGTCGAGCCGCATCTCGTTTGCATCTCACGCGGTTATCCAGAGGCATTGCCCGTGTCTTCCCAAACACCGTCCAGGCTCAACCCCGACGTGACTTGGGCGAGCCGTCCCGGCCGCTGTGGCGTCGATGCGCGCTCTCTTCATCGGCAGCGCTGGAATCCGCTCGGCTCGTGCAACCCGTTGCAGTCCCTGCTACTCGCTGCAGCTCCCACGTTGGGGAAACACATTTCCGCCCTCAAATGCGTGGCCGGTGTCAGCACTCGCGGTGTTCGCCGGCCTGCCGCGGTCAATCGGAGTTGGGTGTGTCCGGGAGGGTGGGGGGGTGGGTGTTCATTGGAGTCGATTTGTTTGACTTTGTTTTAAACCAGAGATGGGGTACCCGAGTAGGCTTGATGAAGGTAGATCGGGGTATCGTTAACTTTTTGTCAAGGAAAAGCAAAGATGGGTTTACGGGGAGACTTGTGGATTAGGGTAGGGGTGCGCAATAGGGGTCGGGTTGGAGTTGAGGAATAAGGGTTGGTGGTGAGGAACCAGGGGTTAGCGGTTGGGGTTAGGGATCGGGTTCGGACCCACCGATTGGCTGCGGCGGCGTTCCCCACCGCACGTCGCCGCCGCCCTGCCGCCAGCGAACGCCGGGTTCTGCCCAAGCCACCCGAGGCGCTTCCGCGGATTTCTCGCGCGTTTCGTGCTCGCCCAGCGACCTTTCGACCTTGTGCATCATGCAGTGTTTGGAGGTCGCTTTAGGGATGCCGGTGTCGTATATTATGCAAGGTCCTCCGTGCGTGACGTGCGTGCGTGTTCATGATGAACGTGTAAAAAAATGCTCCTATAGTTCGGTGCGTTTTTTCTGAAATGCTCGTAGAGCCAAACTAAGGCAACTTGCCACATAGGTAGTGCAGAGATTGCAGGTATTATAATTGTTGCCGTCGCCGTGGTAGTTCTAAGGGTTGTACGATTGTTTTATTATTCGCGGCTTTTGATTTTATAACGGCTCGTGAGTCGATGCGTAACAAACAAAACACTGCATTTAACTACCAAAGAGAGAGCGAATGAGAGGGTGGGAGAGAGAGCGAATGAGAAAGGAAGAGGAGTCGAGCGAGAGGGGGGCATGCGGAGGGTGGGGGGTTAGGGGCGATGCTCCTGCCCCATTCTAAGTCAGGGTACCCTCCCCCCGCTAGGCGGGGCAGGTGATGTAGCGATGAGTGGGCGCACGTCAGTAGCGGGTGCCCCAACCTCGAAGTTCCCGTCGTCGTAAAGTATCCGACTCGTCTGTGCGACAATGTCGTGCCCCCAGGGTAGGAATGTTGTTTCAATGTCACCGGTCCCGTCTGTGACATTGCGGGCCGTGGAAGGAGAATACCCCAAGTGTAGCGGGATATTGGAGGTCCCTTGGGGAAGGAATGTTTTCGGTGCTGGCAGGAATGTTATGGATTGGTATTAACAGTGGTGTCGATTTCAGCAGGAACGTCACGTGCTCTGGTGGGAATGTTCTTGTCCCGCTGCTGAATGTCGTCGGCCGCTGAGGCCAACCCGGCTCCTCGCTTTGTCGAGGAGCGGCGCCACCGTCGACGGCTTTCCTCGCGATGACGTCTCCTGTTCCCGGTCTTTTGAAATGTGGGGGGTGGGGGGGAAGTATAATAGAGTATGTTGTGTATATATATATATAAAATCTATCTTAAGGTGTTACATAGATGCCGTTTAAAAGTACTGTTAATAATGTTAACTTTAATTTAAGAAAGATAAGCAAAAATACAGTACTAATAATATGCATTTGTAAAAAAAATTATGTAAATCGATAATGCAAAAAAAATAGAAGGAAAAGTTCAAATATTGGGGCGGAGTCGAGTTTGTCCACGTGCTGCGCTGCCCTCTCCGTGCGGCGTGGCCAGCGGCGTGGGTGTGCTGCCTCCTGACCTGTGGGTAGCGGCGTGGGTGTGCTGCCTCCTCACCTGTGGGTAGCGGCGTGGGTGTGCTGCCTCCTCACCTGTGGGTAGCGGCGTGGGTGTGCTGCCACCTCACCTGTGGGTAGCGGCGTGGGTGTGCTGCCTCCTCACCTGTGGCACAGGCCGCCGCCGCCGCTACCCACAGGCGGCCGTGGCCCACGGTCTGTGTGCGTGGTCGCGCCTGTGGCTCGCACGCTGCGGTCCACGCGCTCCCCGCTCCCCCGCTCGCGAAACGAGACGCGCGCCGCTGCTCGCTCCCAACGTCGGGGAGCGGCAGAGGCCGTCGAGTGTTGCGTGCGCGCGGAGTGTAGCGGCCACCAACACCGGTGACTTATCTGAATCGGTCATTGTCCCTTCCCGAGGTTGACTCAGCCTCAAATGGAGTACCTGGTGTGGTGTGTAGACATCATCACAGGGGAGACAAAGGCGGCTGGGCCTGGTACCCGCCACATCACCCGCTCGACTGTACCGTGCCGGCCTTAATAGGCGCTTGCTAACGGCGCATCTCGGGCTACGCTCGGGGATCTGCGTGTGTGTGCGCGAGTGTGTGCGAATGTGTGTGCGAGTGTGCTAATGTAGAACGAGTGTTGGTGAGCGGTCGTGCAGCTGTTCGTGAGCTGCGCTGCTTACTCGGCGGTGACCCGAGATTCTTGCTCACGGCCAACACCACCAGTGACGATTAACCGAACCGGTTCTGGGCTCCCCATGGATCGACTCGGCCTCATTCAAATGAGTAGCTGGTACGGTGCGTAGTAAACATCGCCACCAGGGAGACAAAGGCGGCCAGCCACCCCACCCGCTCGTGTGCCGTGCCGGCCTTCACTGGTGCTTGCTTAACAGCACTTGCCCCAACAGTCTGTTCGAGCTACCTGGGGGATCTTTGTCTTTGCGCGTGCGAGTGCAGACCTAGTGTCTCGGCAGACTTGGGGGCGGCGACATTTGCCGCCCCCACCCCCGCGTGAGCGTT